AAGAACTACTATCTAAAATAAATAGTTACCTATTGATTGTATCAGAAAAGAAAACTTTTTCTTAGCGTGTAAGTGACGTGTCCAAAAAAGGGTATCTCCATAGCGGAGGTAACTTCTCAGCTCAGACTTATCTGTACCGGAGAAACAGTCTCTAAAGACAGCTTAACTTTTTCGGCAACCAAAGTGGAATGACCCCTCAAATAAAATCACCATTCCTGAATTTCTTTTCTGTGAACTGACGAAACCACCTCGCGTCGTAAAACGATTTAAAAAAATTCACGAATTTTAAGAATAATTTTTTTCAATTAATTTACGAACCGAAGAATGCAAAGAATTCGATCATTAATTGAAATAAAATCGCGGAGAGTCCAAATCGATTCGATTCCCCAAGAGGTTTCGTAATATACCTGAAATGGATCCGTTTCCAGATGTGTACCGGTGTGTGCAGGCTGCTCGCAACGGCAGGCCTCTGGAAACGGGATCCAATCAGCGCCCGGATAACTGACCGATACGAAACGTCGAAGCGTGCGGAACGCTGCGCCGCGGAGCGTGTTCCACCGAGCGGCGAGGCCCCGTGGAAGCGGGCAAGTTCTCTGCCCGCGATAAAGCGTTACACGATATCTCGCGGTTTTACTGCCGCGGCGTTTCTTTTATTTGCATAATAGTCGCTGATGACCCGTCGTAAAGGCAACGGCGGGACCGTTTACGCGCTGGGCCCGTTCCACCACTCCTCGATTTTTCGCCCTCCTCTTGCGCTCTTCCCCCTCCCCTGTTTCTATTCTTGTGTTTCTGTTGGAACGAATGGGCCCATCGTTCCCTCCATTCATACCTCTTCTTCTTCCTTCTTTTTTGTTTTCTCTGACCGATCGACGTTTCCAATAGAAAGTCCACGATTTTTAACGGGTCGCCCCCCCCCCCTTTCTTTGGACCATCCCCTCCTCCGAACCACCGAGGGCAAGTATAATATTGCGGTATTTATCACGCTTGCAGAATGCTCGTTTAATAACGGAATGATATTTAAGCGGAGCGGGGAAATTGTTTCGGTGGCATTCCGTTGAGTGCACACGTTTTATGGCGATTCCATCCGCTCCACGCGCGGGCGAAGACTTGTGGAATGGTTTTTTTTACCTGGTTCTTCTTTTAGAACGATCGGTGGATAAGTAGCACTCGAGAAATTGTGTTAGATAACGTTGGGTTCGAGGGAAAATAAAATTGGTTGAAGTACGTGGACGTTTTATGTGGTTTTTCGATTGGTACTGTTTGAGCATAATTAGTAGAACATCGATGTATTAAGTAATGTCGATTCTGTGGGAAATAAGAAGTGGTGTAGAACTATGTGTGAAAGTCATGAGGTGTTCTTCTTTTGGAACAGTTGAAACGTAATTAGTGGTAAATAAGTGGATTATGTAACAGCAGTTCAGTGGAAAATAAAAGTGCTGTAACTACATGGAAGGTTTATCACAATACATAGGAACTGGAAATTTTAGGGTAGTTTTGTATTTATGACACATACATAGTCTAATATACTCGCTCCTGATTGAATTTTTCTTCAACCATCGTGTACTCTACAGATCAACCTAACCCAATTCAGGCTTTTATATTCTTTATTACAGAAACTTGTTCAATTAATTCGCACTCAGTAGTTTATTTAACGATCGAGCAACATAGTACATAGTATATTCCCATAATACGATTTCAGCTATCTAGACCAAGTTTAATTTAATTCCAGTGTTTGCGAATTTACCATTTATTTCAATCGACTGAACCGACAAACAGGATCGTCAGTTTCGTCACGTCGGTTTATTACGAAGCAATTAACATTGCCCTCGAAGGATGTGTGCCGGGGGGTGGGGTGGCTCTCGAGAAGGATTTAATAATATTCAAAACAACGCCCGCGGCTGATATTCAGCTCACGGCGACTTAATTAAAAGTCTACAGAGTCCGGCTACCCAGACGAGGGAATGGTAGCCTCCGTGATATCCCCCAGACAGTCGCTGCCCAAGAAGTACAGTGGGTGATCAAATTATTATGAACACTTCGAACTACACTCATTTGAATTTTGATCAAAAACGGAAATTAAAATAAACTTACAATAGTATCTTCTTTATTACAAAATATATTATGTTTTCACCAGCATATGACAATGGTTATAATTTCTGAAATAAATTCTGAAACAATGGTTATAATACTTTCAATATTCTTTGGACACAATATAACTTAATAGTGTTCGAGTACTTAAAAATTATCAACACTAAGTACACTGATTATTGAACATACGAAAATATAGTTAAATTGTGTACCTATACTTTAAGAAAAAAAAAATAAGTGTATACGTTATTATTATTGAAGTCATAATAACACCGAAGACCATAAGATATGTAATTCTTCGATCTATTCATAATAATTCGATCACCCACTGTAAGTACTGACCTCTCGCCGCCGCGATATTACACCGCATTGAATTCAGGTTAGCTCGCTGGGGGGACTCATAAGAGAGGAGGCGGTCACGGAAAAATTATGAATCCCGTGAAAGGTTTCTAGTACAAAGGCACGGCTGAACGGTCCAGTGCAATCGCACATTTCATTAAACCGTTACAGTGTGACGAGTTCTTTCGCCGGGAGTGGCGCACAGCCACCACGGGTGGTGTGCATCGATTGTTGGCGTCGGGCGATTCCATTTCGTCGCCGTGACGCAACAACCGTCGTTCCTCTCACCCTGGTCTTTGGAAAATAAACGGTACCCCCTAAGACCATTTAATTTTTTTCTGAATCATATTTTAATATCATCGATAGTTTCAGAGATATTCGAGTGGGTCGATATAAATGGGACACCCTGTATATTTTGTTTGCGTATCGTTTAATTGCCCCGGCCTATCTACCGTTTCCTTACACTTGTCGGAGACTAATTGTTCTTCGTGGCTCGAATCTCGTGGAAGAAAGTAAGAGTCCCCCGAGACCATCCAACGGCCGATTGCTAACGAATTAGGAGAGACTATATCGATCTAGGAAACGATCTGGCAGATCGGATACCCTCCTTTGTATCGCGCGGTTCATTCTTCGATCCGGAAAAAGCGAGGAGATGTAGGTCGTAACACCGAGATCGACTTATAAAGAGGCGCTCGGACCGTGCAATAAGTCAACTGCATTCAGGTCTTGTCCTCCTCCCCCCCTCCTCCCTGCATTCCCTTCATCCCGACTGCTTTACATCCGTCTTCCTTCGACAGTCTGCCGAAAGTCGAGGGGAAATCGGTACGTCGTGTATATATATACATATGTACGCAGAAACGCGTCTTGGCGTACCTTAAATGACTTATGGGGTAACCTTGATACCTTTTTGTCCCGGGGTATACTTAATTGTGCCGGTCCGCTTTCCAATGTTCATTCGCCCGCGAGACAACTCGTTCAGGTGAAGAGTCCACTGGGTACCAAACATTTATTATTTAAGCCGTTTATTCTGAAAGTGGGTTGGTCCAATTTCGAAGAAGACCGACAACGTGGTCGTTATGGTTATAAATACAGAACCAAGTGAATCAGTGATGAACGAAGGAAGAAAAAGTGGACTTAAAGCGGACCGTTGATTTATTTTGTCATATTAATGACTTCTTTAGGTTCCAAATAAAAATACGATTTACTTTTTTTATTAAGCTTTTTATCGTACTAAATTATAGACACGCTAAAAATTGTATAGAATCCGCAGTTTATCTAGATCACATGTTTCCCACCGTTTCATCGGTACACACCCGGTATAAAAGGTGTTCGCACTTGCCGCCCCCAGCGATGCCCATCGTCGAAAACCAGACCTTTACGTGACGGTGGTCCGGGTCAAGGAACGGTCTCACTTAATTTCGCCCGTCGTCGAGAGGGAAAATTGTGACCTCTGGCTCGTACTTTGGCACGGCACCAAGACGCCCGAGGAACGTGCAGCATTAGACATGCTTATTAGTAACAGAAGCCGTGGGGACGAGCAAAGGGGGGGGGGGGCGAGGCGGGGGCCGTAAACGTATCTGCACGCGCACACCTGTGTCCGCCCGTGCATCAGAAATCACCACCCAGGGGAGCTAGTCGTTGGCGGCGCGGAAAAGGCAGTGGCAACGCGGCCCCGTACAGGTGTAACTGCGACTGGACGCGCACGCGTGCCTCCGCTGAGATGGGGATTAGAGGAGAGTTTTGCTACCAGCTAGGTCGCGCAATTTGCATGATTCCTGGAGATTAACCTCGGACGCGCAACAATGCCCCGCTGCAGTGCACTCGTGAACACGATGTTTGGACGCTGATCGTGTATCGTCCTTTGGGTAAAAGTGTCCATCGGGTGGAGTCCACTTTTAGATGGAATCCATATTTAATTGGAGTCCACTTTCAGAGAGAATCAACTTTCAGATGGATCCACTTTCAAATAGATCCACGTTCAGATGGATTCATGGTTAGATGGAGAACACTTTCAGGTGGATCCACGTTCAAATGGAGTAGACATTCAGATGAAGTCCAGTATCATACGAAGTCCACTTTCACAGAGATTCGAATACCTGTCGATAAATCAGTGTCGACGTAATGACAGATGGTGAAACATATTTTCAGGAAGTTACAGTCATATGATGTGACAGCGAATGTGAGAGAATAACAAAGATTAACCTAGAAAGTAAGAGGATACTGCAGGGTAAAGAGGATATCCGATCGATTTAGAGTTCTAATTAAGCTAACCGGCCTATCAACGATTCCTCTTCTATTGATTCTGAGTCTCATGTCATATAAACTAAGATCGCTACTCCACTCTATTATTATACTGGATTATGTGGAATCTATGTGTAGGTCGGACGATTCAGATAAGATAAATGGGATCTAGGGTACAAGATAAATGAGACCTAGGGTTAAATAAGTGAATAAGGGGTGACGCTACAATTTTCCAATTGTAAACGAAGAATTAAGAAATCCTGTAGTTCCTAGGAGCTAATTTCGAGGCTGTTCTGAAACGGTGTGTGATTTTTCTGATTTCAGGGATCAGGATGCGGTGGATCGGTTACGTGGCCACAATCCTCTGGTGGTCGGGCATCGCCAGGTCCCTCAGCACGTTGAATCGAGGTCACAGTAATGCTCCTTTTGGTGGCTCGAGCGCGCGAGTATTTCAGTAGCAGCCGCGTTCTTTCCCCTCCCCCTCCCTTCGCGGTTGACATTCTTCGGGTTCCTGCGTTGATCCTCGGCTGACCCTAGATGGATCTAAACATTGCCACGGCCGGGAAATCGAATAATCTCTCCGTGGTGCCCGTCTGAAGAAAATTTAAGATACCCGACTCTCCTCCACGGCGGTCTCTGTGGAAAACTATAAACTTTTTATTATTCGCCAATTACGCGGTTATGATCTTACGATCCGTACTATCCCCGAGGCGGTCGATTAACCGAATGATTTCCTATATAAAACTGCGAGGCAACGCACGCACGTCCAAGTATCTTATAAAAATGATTGATATTCAATAATGAGTTAGGGGGGCGGGGAAAGTCGGCGGATCACTTATTCGATTGAATAATCGCCAATAACTAGGCCCCAATTAAGATTTTTGAGGACCTGGGCTATCAAATCTTCGAGGACCTCCTTGGTGAAACGCCAGGGGGAGGAGAGCCAAAATTTATTTCCAATAAAACATACAGTAAAGTGCGTGAGTCTTCTAAACTTGGAAATTTATTTTAAATAAAAATTAAATAACATTTAGTCATAACGAACGCTTGATTATATTAAATATAACTTCGTTGTATTTTAATAACTATATTCCGATTTATTATTATTCATATTATTTCGATAGGAATACAGTAAACAAACTATCATTCAATTATTTTTTCTACATAAATGGAATGCTTGGATTGGGCCTTCCCCCTTGCAAAGTGAGGCCCGAGGCTGCAGCGCCCCCTACTCCCCCCTCCCCTTGATACGGTGCTGCCGATAACGCTATCAGCCGGTAGTAGGTACGTCGTCCCGTTACACGATCGCGAAGAAACGACGAATTATTCGAAATCATTGCTCCTCGTGAACGGCTGTTCATTTATCGCGCGAAATAACAGTTATTTGACGATCCCGCGGCCGCTCTCGAATAATTATTTATCTCCCTCCCTCTCTGACACACACATCTCCTTTCTTTTTGCCTTCGTTCGATTCGGGTTCTGATTTCATTACCCTGTCCCCCGACTCTTCGTAGAACGTTTTCTCTTTCCTTGTTCCTTGTTTTCCCTTCGATCGTCACCTCGGGAGGTTCCTCGAGAATCTGAAACTGACTAATTGGACAGAGGGGAACTCGGTCAAGGTGCAGTCGGTCGCGAGAGTAAGGGAATGAGAGAAGAAAAGCGAGCTGGGGAAGCGACTTTCCTCACGTTCCGTGGAAACCCAGTGGAAACTGGGACCGACTAGGGGAAAAAAAACCACCTTATCCTCGTTAACCCGCGCACGTATACCAAGGCGAACCGCGCTCTGAGAATTTATTCCCCGTTTACGGCGGTTACCCGTTGCGCCTGGCTACGCCCACGTTCCCGTGAAATTTATATCCTGTTTACGATACCAATTACGACGCGATGGGGCCAAAGAAATTCGCGATACTCGCTCCTTCCGCGCTACCACGATTACGCCCTGGTATTTTCGTTTGGCCGACTCTAACATACCGCTCAATATAGCTGAGCGTGGAAAAAATCATGACGATAACGTAATCACATATGTAGATCAGATATTCATTTCTGCTCGAGAGTTTTTATTTATCTATTTATTTAGTTATTTAACGAGTATGAGCCCAGTATACATACATAACATGTAATGAAAATAAAATTAGAAACAGTTACAACAATATATTCTACAGTATGGAATTAGCCGCAATAGGAAATTTTTAATAAAATATTAACTTCTTAGTGCTCTATGTAGAGATGCCTTAAAGTATTCAATAGGACCACTGAAAAAGTCAATCAGATCCGTGAGCTTCCAAACATTCATGGCAAAGCAGAAAGGTATTCAATCACCTATTAAATTATTTTTTTCCCAAAACCGAGCCTCTGCTTAGTTTCCATTTATTCCGTTTTGATCGGTTCCATAGGGGGACCCCCAGTGATGGGAATAACGCCATTGCCCGTGTCGCATTCATCGAGAAATCACTGTATATCATTTTCGTCTCCCGAGAACAATGATAGAGCTTCCAGGAAAAAGTTCACACGAACTTGTCGTATCGATCTCGTCACTTTTATTCGACCATCGAAAATTCAAACGAGATACGGATCTGCAATCTACCCAGCATCTTGGACACCCAACGCGCCGCGATCAAACCCCCCGCCATTGTTCCCCGAGAAGAGGAACGAACGTCCGTCGCGATAAAGTTTTTCCTTTAATTAACACGGCCTGTGTTGCAACGCGATACGAGCATATTTCTAACGGAGAAAGCGAGACCGTGAAGGTGCACATACACCGCGCGAACCGCAAGCAATTTACGTTGCCGTGGTCATACGCTGACTTCGGTTAACGACCTGGCCCAGGTCTACGTACTCCTTCCGCGGGACGATCGGGTCTTGTTTCTCTGTTTCCATCCTGATTTTTCGTTTTCCCTCGGGGCCCCACCTCCCCCCCTGCCTCTCGAGAGCAGAGACCGCTCGCACACTTTCACCGAGCCGCCTGGTAGGCCCAGGAAGATTCGATCTGCGAACGCTAATGACGTCCCAATTACCGTTGGGCCCGTTCCCTAATTAGCGTACCGACCGAAAATCCACGGTAGCCGAGGCCAAAATGGATGCATCGATCCACGGCTGTTCAACGGGGAAAAACGATTATTCAACCGTGCATACGCTCCAGTTCATAAAGTAATGTGGACACTTATCGAATATGCAGTAAATTGTTCCTTTTAGGCATTATCCAATTACCGAACCTTTTGAAATAAATATTGTTCACGGGATATTAACCTTCAGACTGTCGGCATTTTTACGTGAAAAATGGTAACAAAAAAATAGAATATAAAAAAATCAAATCGTATCCATCCTATGCGTCCCTTAAAATACTACGTAATTGATCAAAATGTTTTCTGATAGTATCAATAGGTAACGAGTTATTTTAGATAGTAGTTCTTACTGATTCACCCTGTATATAAATTGTACAAGACATCATATTTCCATCCTCATACAGACCAAGTGTCCACATACTTATAAACCGCAGTGTACGGTGAACGCATCGGTCCCAGGACGGTTCGCCACGTTAATTACAGACGCGAATTACAAGGAAACCCTTAAACGGTGGCTTATCACGCACCACACGGATATGGGTCAAACTTATAACGGCGGGGCCGTTGAAAGCTCGCCACGGTCTCGTTTCCCCTTCCTAACCCAGCCCATAGAACTGATACCCAGGCCGATTAGATTTTCCCGGACGATTCCCCGGTCGCGCTCGTAACCATTTTCCCCGTGTTGCTCGTGCGGCTAGATCGTTACCGGGGGCCCGTCATTAAGGATCGATTCTAATCTAGACGTAAACGCTCCCATTAGTCGGCAGGCTTAATTGTATGTTTACTGGCCTAGTTCGACGGACACACTTGCGCTCGGGAAACGAACGAACCCTGGTAGATGGAAGCCGAATCAATCAGCCAGAGAGTCGTCGGTCGTTCGACGATGTGCACGATCGGTAGGGATCGTTCCGTTCGCTCCTGGTTAACACTTGACCTGTAATTCGATCGCGGGAAACCAGTTGATGGTCGGCGATAAACGGTCGAACAGAATGATCGCCCGATTCTTCGGACGATCGTCGACCGAGCGGAGCATCGATTCACCGGTGAACCGCGGAAAAATCCTTTTAGTCGCGTTTACGATATAACTGTTCAGGTCGTCCCATAAATTCCTGATGATTTCTCCCGCTTGGATCGGCGATTTAACACCTTGACCGTTGCAACGGAGATTAGTTTCTCGGACGCGCTAACTGGTCGCTTGTGTGTCTCGGTCCGCTGACGTACTGACCGGTTATGATCTGCGAGCATGTGAATCGCGGCTGATACGGTGAGACACGACATTTGGGTTGGTGGCGTCTTCCACAATTTCCTCCTTTTCGAATGAACCGTTTTCTGGATAAAATCCTTTTTGCGATCTGAGCTGCTGCTAGACACTCTGAACACGTTCTACCTGGTTCAGCCTGTCAGTGACTTGTATATTAAGTATATTACGTTCTTAACATGTCAAGATTGTCGATCGTTCTGTTATCGTTTGATATCGATACCAAATATTGGACGAGCCCGTTAAGAAACATTAGGACAGTGCTTTTCAAACTTGGCTCTGTGGAGCCGTCTTCCATCATCGTCCGTCATTATCGTGGAGTAACAGAGACAAGAGTCTATACTTCTTTGTCTACGAAGGCACACGGCGCGAAAGAGGAAGCAAGCGCGTTAAGGGGCCTCTCCAGAGAGCCAAGTTCGACGGCACTATGTTAGGGCACCGTGAGCTAGGTTGAACGTGTCGTAATGCTTTCGATATTTGCTTACAATATACCTCTCCTCGAGCCTCCTCCCTAGATATTTACCGAACCGTCAAAGAGCATCTGTCTTTCGCTCGCGCAGGTTACAAAATCACCCCGAAGCCCTGTCGCGTCCCAGGTCCAGAGTCTAAGGAGGGCACGTGCATGTTCGTCTGGGAGTGCATCAAGTCGGAGGGAACGCACGTCGGCGTCTGCGTGGACACGTTCATGTTCGGCAGCTGCTGCGTGCATAATTCGACGGCGAACTCGGTCGCCTCGCCCCAACAGCACCAGCAGCATCAGTACCACCATCAGCCGGCGTCTTCATCGAAGCCTCTGAGGCCGACGTTGGCAGAGGCGTTGGGCAACGGGGCGACCAGACCTACGCTGACCTCCCTGTCCAGCTTCCTCGTCACGGATTCGATCACGTCCAGGCCGAGTCATCATTCCTCGGAGGCGTTCGACTCGTCCGGTGGGTCAGGCAGACCGTATAAACCGTTGTCAGCGGGTTCAGCTAGGCCGTTGCAGAAGAGGCCACACGCGAAACCGACGTCGGACCACAAGGACAGGATCCAGACCTCGGCGGTCCCGAACTCGTCGAGCTTCTGGGAGAAGGGCTCCCAGAGTACGAAGAGACCTGGTTCCACTGTCCTCTGGGAGAAGGGCGGACAGAGTACCAAAAGACCAGGGTCTGACCTCTGGGAGAAGACGTCACAAAATACGAAGAGACCTGGTTCCACTGACCTCTGGGAAAAGGGCGGTCAAAGTACCAAGAGACCAGGCTCTGATCTCTGGGAGAAGACTCCACAGAGCACAAAGAGACCCAGCACCACTGACCTCTGGGAAAAAGGCGGTCATAGTACCAAGAGACCAGGGTCTGATCTCTGGGAGAAGACGTCACAAAATACGAAGAGACCTGGTTCCACTGACCTCTGGGAAAAGGGCGGTCAAAGTACCAAGAGACCAGGCTCTGATCTCTGGGAGAAGACTCCACAGAGCACAAAAAGACCCAACACCACTGACCTCTGGGAGAAGGGCGGTCAAAGTACCAAGAGGCCAGGCTCTGATCTCTGGGAGAAAACTCCACAGAGCACGAGGAGACCTGGTTCCACCGACCTTTGGGACAAGGCCGGTCAAAGTACCAAGAGACCAAGTTCTGATCTCTGGGAGAAAACTCCACAGAGCACGAAGAGACCTGGTTCCACTGACCTGTGGGACAGGGGGAGTCAGAGTACCAAGAGACCGGGGTCTGATTTCTGGGAGAAGAGTCCCCAGAGTACGAAGAGACCCCAAACTGTGAGTACTAAAAGACCAAGCTCCTCTACCACCACCTCTCACACTACCAAGAGACCCAGTACCGTCGATTTCTGGGAGGACTCGGTTCAAAGTACGAAGAGACCCAATCACGACGTTCAGGGCCTCCAACAGAAGACCAGACCAAACGACGACAGTCAGCACTCGGTTATCAAGGAGAAGGACTCTACCCAGGATGGCTTTCAGAGCCACCATCAGGGATTCAAGGATAAAGTGGACGCGGGACAAAACGCGTTGACCGTAAGACTACCTGGAAAGGAGCACGCATCTAACGATGACGAAGGTATTAGGCCGAACAGGCCGAGCAACCAAAGACCGTTCGAAACGAGGCCCGACGAGGGGAAGACTGAGGACACGGATCTTAGTGTACAGGAGTCGGTCCACCGACCTAGCGTTAATTCGGTTGAAGAAAGCGTAAGAAAGATTTCTTTTTCTTATTTAGTCCAATTTCCAGTGGTAGCTAGAATATTAGGTCGAAAAAGATCAGATTCAGGGGATTTTCCGTTTCGTTCGACACCAGGAAACCGCCAAGGAACCACACCCGAGCCTGAACTTTATCCACACCGAGCGTCCACAATGGGCGACCAAGCCAGTGTCGCTAAAGCCCACGACGGACTTCTCGAAACCGTATTTCTCCGTCAAGACGACCACTTCCAAACCATCGTCGATGAACGACTCCAGGCCGAATTTTGTCTCGAAGCCCAGCAACTCGAACACCTCGAAGACCTCTACCACTTCCAGGCCCACCAGGTATTCGACTATGTCCTTACGTTCCAGTTTATGCAAAGTAGTCCGACTAGACGCGAATTGAGTACTATACAAAGTGCTAAAACTCCCCCAAACGACGCAGTGTTTTACACCTGGAAACAAGCCTAGAAATGAAAGTCACAGCTGATCTATGAAAGAAGCACTTTCGGAGCAGAAGCTTAAAACTTTTCTTTCATTCTAGCGCAGCCGGATCCGTGCCACAGACCTCTCACTGGCAAGTGACCACAGAGCCGGCGTTCATCACCAAACAGAGGCCATCCTCGTCCACGAAGCCAATAAGTTCCCTGGAAACCGCTAAACCCGTGGTGGTCAGCTTACATTTCTGGTCGGAGAACAGCTGGACCCCGCCAAGACCGTCCTTGAAACCGCACTGGACGGACAACCCTAGTCTCCTTCAGAACGGACCCGAGGCATTCCCTCCGCGACCGAGTTTCAAGCCGACAGAACCGCAAGAAGTATGTCCAGTTTCAGAGATTTCAGGCTTTCAGAGCCAGACGTCATATCAGTTCTTATTGTTGAGGCGCAAGCCGTGTCCTGGTGGAATTACTCTTCAACATACTGGTGACTGATACTGGTGTGTTACTGTAATCAAGAGATATTTTTAATTGTTCAGCGGAACAATTAATCTCCATCCGTCCCTCATGTTCCCAACTTAATTTGTCCCTCGGTGTTAAATTGACACAGTGGTAAGAAATTAATGTAACGCAGAGATAAACAGTTAAACTTGCAATGTCTCTAAAATAAAAGTCTCGGAGTTTCAGCTAAATTTATCTATATATGACAGAATTATATTGGGAAAGCATCCTTTAGTTTTTGCTGTAACTTTAGCTTCCATGAAGAGTATTTTGTACCCTGTTGGTTTCTGATGGTTTGCCACAGTCGATTATTCCATTAGTGGAGCACAAACCAGGCACCAGTATCAATATGTCATTCAACCAGGGCTTCAGAAACGTTGGGAAAAGTAATTCCATCAGGACACTGCTTACACCTGAAAGCCTCAACGGTAATAACTATGTATCCAGTTTCTTCGTCGACTAATTAGATCTTCATGATTGGACCAATCATCCTTTAGCACAATATCTAGAGCCTATTATTGAGTTTAACTTTGGACACTAAAAAAACAGTAACGTCTCCGGGTGGTTAGTTTTTCCAGTGAGCTCTGAGAGCTTTAAATTCCTCGGATCCTCCGTCTCCCTCGATAACTGTCGCGTCACAGAACCCAGACAGTGACAAGTCTGGGGTTAAACACGATACTACCTCCCAATAACTGAAACTTATAATACTAGTATCTTCAACCAGCCTCTCTGGCTGTATTCTGTAGTTCCAACAGAATAATTGTTCCCCAGTTCCGTATGTTTTATTTATATTAACGCGATGCTCGATGTACCCGCCGCGAACCCGCTCCTCCCTACCCATGTCGTGAATAATCGTAACTGTAAAGCTCAGAACCGCGAGCATATCCGCATTGTTCGAATATCATATCCTTCGGCGCGTGCTCCCGGCCGTAATTCACACGGCGAACATTCGAATTTCAATTCGAATAGTTGGAAAACACCCGATCCGTAACACCGAGGAATCCGTGATCCGCAGACCGAGCTCGCAACGCCCGGCTGACCATCATCATCATCATCATCATCATCTTCATGATCGCGAGAGAACCACATCCCCTTTTTTTTTCCCCCCCTCGATACAAAACACCTCACAAAGTATCTAATCCAAAAGCATGATATACCTCACCCCATAAACGACTTCATCGCGTTACATCCACTCGATCCAGGGTCCGATCGAACCGCGGTGTTATTAGATACCAGATCGGTATGTAAAAGAAACACAAGCCCCAAGCCCAAGGACGATCACCATCGTACGGTTCTTTTTTTCCCGTGGTTATACTGTTGTTAATCGCGACGAAGAACCGAGTTTCGCCTAGACGTTGACCATGCTCGATTACACCCATCATTGAGCTTACAAAGTAGCGGGACCGGGAACGATCGATCGATTTAGGAAAATTAATAAAACGCCCCGACGATTGCTGATCGTGTGTGTCCGTGTCCGTAGAATACAGAGTTCCACAAACCGCTCGGCTCCGCGCACTACATAACCACGTCCCATTTCGAGACCTCGGCCAGACCTAGACCGACCAAGAAGACCACAACCTCGACCACGACCACAAGCACCACTACATCCACCACTACGACCACGACCACGACCACAACCACGACCACAACACCGAGGCCAGAGACGACCGTGCCGACGACGGTCGCCGAGACGGTGATCACCAAGACGGGATCGGTGCTGACCGTGTCTGCGGCCGATGAGAGTAAAGGCACGCAATGCGGCGTCCCGCCGTTGTTTCCACGGCCGGAGACCAGGATCGTCGGCGGCAAGGACGCACCGTTCGGTCGATGGCCTTGGCAGGTGTCGGTGCGACGCACCTCGTTCTTCGGGTTCTCGAGCACCCATCGGTGCGGCGGTGCAGTGCTGAACGAGAACTGGATCGCCACCGCGGGACACTGCGTCGACGAGTGAGTATAGACCCAAGAGTAGACATGTCCCGATTGCTCTGTCACCTTAAGATTGTAGCGTCACTTCATTTAATTATTTCTAGAGGGTATACACGCTGTTACTAACCAGCGTTTTGCTTGATAATAATAAATATTAGGAAGAACAGTTGGTTCATTTTCATCCTATTTAAAACTGTTTTGCACAAAACGTCTATGCCCGTTTATTTACGTTAAATAAATAATGAATAGATCCGTTGGAAATTACAATGACCAGAGGAGTTGGATCATAGTAATGTCGTTTTTTTGTCCTTCCAGCCTGCTGACCTCGCAGATTCGGATCCGTGTCGGCGAGTACGACTTCTCTTCGGTCCAGGAACGTCTGCCGTACGTTGAGCGAGGGGTCGCGAAGAAGGTGGTCCATCCGAAGTATAATTTCTTCACGTACGAGTACGACCTCGCGTTGGTCAGGCTGGAGAGCTCGTTGACGTTCGCCCCCCACATATCGCCCATCTGCTTGCCCGCCACGGACGACCTTTTAATCGGCGAGAACGCGACCGTCACTGGCTGGGGGCGGCTCAGCGAGGGTGGCACGTTGCCCTCCGTGCTGCAGGAGGTGAATCCTTGCCCTGTTTCGAACCCAACGACTCTAGCTGCCAATTGGCAAAGGTCCCTTCCACGAAGTCCTGAACGATCAGATTGTAGGTCGAATTGGTCGTGCCTCCAGCATAGCCTGGAATCCTTAGGGGATATTAACTTGGTCCAAAAGTTCTTTTATTCTTATCGGGGGACTTCGAAATGACGAGGAAATTGTCAGGAAATATCCTCGGTTTAGTTCTTAATTACTCTATCTTTACTAGTTTCTAAACCGAGAAAAGTGCATTTAAAGTTTACGAATTTTTATATTATAGAAGCTGAAAAGTAGTGACGTAATCAAACATACTATAATATCATCTACTGAATAGCTATTTATTACAATATTTACTTCAGAAAAAAAATTCGAAGTTTCGGAGTTAGGACTTAAAAGAGTAAATTTTGTTTTCTAAGTTGAATTTACTTAAGAGATTGATTAACTAAATTCCTTTTGACAAATGGATTGAAAACGGTTGAAAATTAATGGGTGGGAATTACTGGTAGCCACAGGATCAGAGCAGACTGAACTTCAATCTATAGATTCGAGTTACCCTCTTGTTTGGGGTTTTCAAGACTTCAATTCTGGGACCTGAAATACTCCGTCTAGGTCTGAGTATTTCAAGGGAGACCATATCTTTACGACCTGCACCAGAAGTAACCTATGATTAAATATTCCACATTAAAGTTTGCCTTTCTTCCAGGTATCCGTGCCTATAGTGAGTAACGATAGATGTAAGTCAATGTTCCTGAGAGCTGGTAGACACGAATTCATACCAGACATATTCCTGTGCGCGGGATACGAGACCGGTGGTCAGGACTCCTGTCAGGTAATACTCCCCGAACCTCATTCCTCTCCTTTACACCGTTCACAAATCAGATATCGGTTTGTTCACCCAGTAAATCTTGTTAAGGGCACAAAACACTATAACGGTCCCAAAAGTGCAACTATTTTAGGGACTTTTCCCAAAGAAATTAATTACGAATATTAATAAAAAACCTGGAAGGAAAAATTAAATTTTAAAAATCTTACGTTCCTGTTGTGGTAGTCGGATGGCCATCCACTGCAGATATATCTGCCCGAAATCAATAAAAAAAATTTTTTCCTTTTCTTAAAATGTTAAGTAAAATATTCCAACAGTTTCCAGAAAAATCCATTTCACAGTTTCTTTGGAAAAAAATCCCAAAGATACTTAGATTCTTGGGACCATTACAATGTTCCACCCACTTAAGGGCATAACCATTTGTTACGTATCATCGTATCATATCACTGTTGCGTATCACAATACACCATACATTTTGATACGCAACGGTGATACGTCTATCATGATCATTTTATATCCACGATTACAGGGTGACTCGGGCGGGCCGCTTCAAGTCAGAGGTAAAGATGGCCGTTACTTTCTCGCCGGGATCATCTCGTGGGGTATCGGTTGCGCGGAGGCGAATCTGCCCGGTGTGTGCACGAGGATCTCGAAATTCGTCCCGTGGATACTGAAGAACGTGACCTGACCCATTCACGCCACCATAATACACACGAAATCCTGTTCACGGCTTGCCGACACGGCTCCGCGGAGCCTGAGCGTCCTCGACTGCTATATCACAAGGATTCCCGGGGATCCTCCATTCTCACGTGACACGACGAGATCACGTGTGGATCACTGCCAAACGGGCGAGTACTCGGTCCCGGGACGATCGAAATCGTGGATCGAACGTAACCGGGGGAAGGGAGGGGGGAGCGATTTATCAGTTCAGATCGAAACGAACGAGCAAGGAGGGTCGTCGTCGTTGTTCTCTTCGTCGTTGGCTTCGAGTCGAGAACTCTCGGGGAGCTTCCGTTTCGAAGATTGTCGCTGAAAGCGAAGCCACTCAAACCGCGGATTACGCGAGACTGCTGAGAGTCTGAGATACTCGCGGGACCGTTGAGAGGTCGTCCTGGCTTCTGAAACGCGGGACTGTATTTATATATACATATATAAATATAAGTAAGATAATAATATATAGTGCAAGGCTTGACGTTGAAAAACGGTCGGTTCGGTGGGGATATTTTGTGTTGTGAAACATTTTCGGAATTCCCGGACCGTTTTCAACGGCCAGCCCCCATAATATACACATTTATTTCGGCCGTTGTACAGTCGGAGATTGTAAAATGCTAAGTTCTTGCCCTAGCGATCGGTCCGATTTAATCGGGGACTAAATTAAAGACTCGTTCGCCTCCCATCGTCTCTCTCCTTTATTTACAACGTACGGATTTTTGTACAGAGACATTATAGATCGTGTACTTAAAGGTAGGTGTGTGCGAAATATGAATGATCTAATAAATATAAATATTTTATATATATATAATTGTTTATAGATTATATATCGGTATTTATAAGTAATGTCAAATAAACGTATGATGTTTATTATTATCCCCGGGATTCGACTTGTGTGTGTCCCCTTTAGTTAGGTCGCGTGTAAGACGTGTTCAAGCGATACCCGGTTTAGAGGATTCGGGAATTTAGTGGATCGTTGACTCGACCGGCGATCAAGGCCACCGAGGTTTCAGCATCGACGATGAAGTAGAGGAACGGATGGACGGCCGTGAATGGTACTGGTCCAGCTCTTTCGTATAATCCGTTGCCTGCAGAAATAAATTCCTTAGTCACTTCGAGTAACTGTTACTGATTTAAAAATAATCGAAACTATTGAAATTTAACGCTTGTGTCGATTTGAAGTACGTATTACCTTTGCTTTTTTCTTACCTATCTTCTTCTCAAAACCCTCTTGTGAAATTTGTTTACATTCGCATTAACGATTTCCAAAGTAAAGAATAAAATAACTGATTTTATTTTATTTCAGAGATGAATTTTATGGAAGTGACTCTGTATTTTTTTTCATAACTTTCTAATACTTTCTATATAATTTTCCTGTCTCCTTTTATAGCATTTTATAAATAGAATTAATTTAGAATCTTAAAAATTGCTATATTTCATTATTTTTCATTATTTTGTATAAATATTTAAGACATATGCATATCTTAAAAACTAGAGCCAGCCAAGTGAAAATAATGGCATATTCAGGATCAGAAGCACTAAATTACTAAAAATCGACTCTTAAATCCCTGGCAACAGATTGACTGCTCCCCAGTGAAATTCATAGACATGATCGATGACCAAATGTGAGAACAGTCAACTTGTTAAGTTTTGTTAGAATACTATATTACAAACTTACAAGTGCAGGCATGGTCACAAGGAATTTAATCAGGACAGAGATAGAAGAGGGGAGAAATAAGTAGCGAAGTAATTAAATTCTAGAGCAACGATAGAGGTCGTAATCACTGGAACGAAAATATTTACGAGTGACATTCTCCCCGCAGTGATTCAGAGATTCCAGGTAGGCATATAACAGAGAGTATAACCGCGAAGGTCTTTTTATTTATTTCACCGCGGTTGAGTCAGTCGGAGGATATCAGCGATTAAGCCCGACGAACTTTATAACAATGCTGAGAATATTCCCGATCGTAGACCGGTGCGAATTACACCGAACCGGAAACGACGGTTCGTCGGTTTGTGCAAACAATGTGTCGAAGAGAGTTCGACATTTACCGATCGAGGCATAAAAATGCTCCATCGGTGTGTGTGTGCAAGTATTATGTAACGCCTCTCAATCTTGAATAATTAAAAATTTCTGACTCAGTGCATTAATAGTGAAATCTGTATTTTTTCTTTTTAATTTAATCAATTACGTTTGTCGAATTTTTAAAATTGAAATCTACACGTAAGGTATCGATATTCGAAATCTAATTCTCATATGCCAAATATCTATATATTAATATTACCATTTAAAATTCGACTTTAAGTGTTCTTTTATTGTTGCATTTACCCTGCATAAGAATAGCAAAATTTTAGGATGGTTTTATAGTTCAGCCACGCAGTCTATGTCGAGGATCAACTGAATGAAATTGAAGGGATTCCATTTCGACACTTGATACCCAAGAAATTCCACCGATCAACCGGAAGTGACAACATCCCCACTCGAGAATCGATTGAATTCGGCACGCGAGTCTCGACCTTCGCCGGGATTTCTAATCTACCGTGTGTCCTGGAATAATGGAGACAGTCGAGACCTCCTATTCGGATTCGATGAAGCATGCAATTTCGGCAGGAACCGCGCGTCAGGCTGCTTCCGACACGAAGAAGCCGATAAAACGAAGGGGGGAACGCGATACGAGGATCGCGGGACTAACGAAAGGAAAAGGAAATTGTTACCCGCGAGTAGTAACGACCGACCATCGTCAGACACGGCCGGACCACACTGCACAGCGGTCGATTCTTCCAAACAGTAGGACACAAACGACAAAAACAATTATTTTCTAAATTTAAAATTTTAATACATACAATGGACAAGTTTGTTTTTCTGTTTGATCTTATTTATAACGGAAAAATTTCAAATAATTAGAAATTACCCCTGGCCAGAAAATTAAGTCCACCCACAGTTTTTCCAATTTTTTGTGGTAATCGTAGAATTAAAAAGCCTGAGCGTAATTTAATAATAATTTTTATCAACTAGTAAAGTACGTACATATACAGGGACTGTACTTAAATTTTAATAATCATTTTTCCCTTCTTTTAAAATGAACGTGTTCCAAATTACTTAAGAAAACTGAAAATCTGGCTTCAAATAAGGAATGATCCATCTATATACGATGATTAAGAGGTACGTTTAATTCTATTGGTTGCAAATAAAGTAAGTTTTCAAGTGATACTGATTTTCGTCCCATTTTTTCGAATAATCGACCACTGTGGCACCGTCGCCATTTCGCTGGCGTGTAGATACGGCTTGCACAGCGAATTGCAATTTCGTTGGATTGCGTCAGGGCAATCGGTTCCGTCGTAATCTTCGACGACCACTTCCTGCCCGGGTGAACACGAGACATCCTTCTCCCACATTAACCCTTAAACCTCTCATTTAATAGCTCAAAGGTATGTAACCCTTCAACGCCCAGTGTTGCACCGGTGCAACACACATTTTAAAAGCGCGTCAAATTCAGCTGCCGGTTAATATCTAACTTTTGTCAGGAAGGATCCATAGTTTCTCTGATATAAAGTAGATCTCTAGATATATCGTGGTAAGTGTTACATGGGATATCCTGTATATTTATGTTATTTAAAATTGGTAAGCTCCAAAAATTCAAAAAGCTTGAATTAGCTACCAAGAGTATATATCGTTGTGATTTGATGGAAACAAGGACAATTCGAACAAGGAAGGGAATGAAGTGCAATAGTACACGTAGAGAGCATAGAATAGAAACCTGGATGATAGTATCGGTAATAGTCCCGTCGAGGTGGAACGATCAAGGGAGGATCGGATTTTGGCGACTCACGAGAGTGGGTCCTATCCGGTTTCATGTAATTCCTGATGTTCACGCCGATGCTCTGCTGCACGTCCCTCGCGTACACGCCCAGGTCCGGTGTCATTGGCGACAGATCAGCCGCCCTCGGCTCGAAAACGTCCACGATTCCCAGCTGTGAATCAAATCGATCGGATCACATTCCACTTCTGAACAGCAATCGATTTATCAAGGTTCCATATTTGATAATTAGACCGCGGATTTTTATGCAAAATAAAATTTTCTACAGCAATTCATATAGGGAAGAACAAATGTAGGAATTTCTTTCTTTTCTCAAGTATGATATTGGGTTCCGAATAAACTAGAAAACTTATTCACAAACAGCTTCACTGCTCCAACAGTTCGATTACGTTATCTTCGGTTTATGTCAATGAAGACAGACAAATCCCGGAAGATGTTTAGTGTCGTTCAAAGTCGCGTCCAACGTGGACCATAAAACTTACACCGTGAAATGGTATCCCTGAATCACATCCATTCGAATAATTTCCCACTTTTTGTTTATTCTACTTCACGTTTCCCAGCCAACAGCGTGGTTTCAGCGGCGCGCCTCGAATTATCGTCAATTTACTGTCGTGTCGTCAAGGTAACCATCTGTACCGATATCTTTGTTCGCGGAACGGCAGCCGTGACGAGAGTCGGGAAGTGCACTCAAGATTCACGAGTAACGCGATTAAGCAATTAGGAGCTTAATGCCCGAGACTAATGGCGAAATATCGAGCGGCTTGCAGCAGTTACGGAAACGCGATTCGAAATCGGGATACGGAGCGTCTGATGATGAAAATTTCTTTCCTAGCGGTAGGTTGCGTTCCCTTGAAAATAAAGGGTGTAACGGTGGTGAATACACTAAATTTTCGATGAGTGTTCGCGGCTGAAACAGATACCATTGGCTTCAGAATTCCCCAAACTCTATCATTCTGCAGAACCCCATTGAGAAGTCAACGTTACACCTGGGGACCTCTCCTTGTCAAAGTCGAAGAGTCTTCGAGCACTCATGGAGGATTTACTGTACATGGCTTCGTACCCTCTGGAGGAAAGACGTCAAGGTGACGAAACCGCGCAACATGAACGACGGAATGGTGGCCCTGACCCAAGTCGCCTGTAACTGCTTCCTCAACAGCCTCAACGACTTCCCGCCGAGATCGCGTGCCAATCGATACGTGTCCCTTCTGTCCGTGGCCATAAGCAGGAGAATATTGTATCTGGGATCCTAAAACAGCAATATTCGAAGAGGAATTACTCACGTCAACGGAGAGAATAAAAAGTGAACTAGAACAGGATGATATTTTCTCCAGAGTCCTCCAAAGTTAACAGAAGATCGTCTGATGGACTAAACAGGACAAGTATCTTTGACGTCGAAATGAAATGTACTTTGCAGGAATCTTTGTATCGATGGATATTCGAGGAACTATTAGTCTTACGTCCAACGGAAACTCAACGGCAACCGCGTGCAGCGATGGGAAATAGGCGAAAGGCAGAACAGCAAAGTATCTGGAAGCAGTGACGGAGGAGACGTCGCAGCCGTTCACCAAGAACGATATCTCCGTCGAGTCCCTAACGGACGCCTCGGTCAGACTGGGCGGATAAGGCTTCCAAATGCCCAGGTCTTGCATCCAGATTCCTTCGTCTGAAATTGATCGGATTGACAAATTAAAAATGTGTCCTGTCGAAATTATAGGAGATGTGGTTATTGTGGTTCGATTTGACAACAGAAAATCGAAGAAACATGCTGCAAACCTGGATAACTCGAGAAGAATCCCCTGGGTGTCCTCAGACTGCGCTTCCTCCTGGTCATCGCGTCAGTGGCAGTCGAGGACACGGTGGTTGTCTGGCCGTTCGACACTGTTTCACTTGTAGCAGCGGTCGTGGACGGCGAATCGGTGGATCCCATCTCGCTAGGGGCTATCTGATCGTTGGACGAGTCCGTTGAAACGGTATTCGCATCGGCAGGTGGTCCATTGGTGGGGCTAGTTCCTTGATCCGCCTGCGTTTCGTTGGAAATCGACGGACTCGTAACCGTACTGGAAGCTAACATAGTCATCGACGTGGTGGGTGTTCCCATCGACATAGTCACCATAGTGGTGGTAGTCCCTATCGTCGTTGAGGTCATTATTGACTCTGGCACAGTCTCTGTAGTATCAGAATTAGATATGTCCAAGACGACAGTCGTCTGTCCACGGGTTGTAGACTCCGTAGCTGCTTCTGTGGTCATAGACGTCCCAGGAGTAGCCAAAGTAGCGTCAGAACTGGTCGAAGGTGAGGAAACGGTTGTGGACTCTGTGGTTGTTGCACTTTGAGTAGAACCGGCCACCGTCGATGGTTGAACAGTAGTCGTCTGCGATGCATCGGTAATGGCAGAGGCTATCGTGGTAGCGATCTCTGACATCGTCGATGACATCGGCCTGGATGAAACCGTGGACCGGTCGGTTGAGGTAGCGGGTTCGGTAGCGTCCATGGGATTCGTACTCGCGGAAGTAGTTTGCGTCAACCTGTCCTGCGTGTCCGCCGTGTTCATCGTCATACCGAGTAGCTCGACAGGCTGTGTTGTCGACACGGTTGCCTCGCTTGTGGTCTCTTGCATCGGTCGTTGCGGAGTCGTTACTGGCATAGTCGTTGCTTCTGGAACCGGTGTTCCTGCATCCGTCACCGGTTGGTCCGTCAGGGGCGTGGAATTCGTGGTATCGTTGGTATCGTCGGGAATAGACAGATCGAACCCGTAGAATCTCAAGATGTCCTCGTACTCTGAACGCAACCTAGTGTTCTCCTGATTGAGCGTCAGACCTCCGAGGAACCCATCAGCGTTCAGATACGTCTATGATAAGGGGGAGGAAAGAGAACAATTGCTGTATATCTTTTTGAGTCGAGTCGATAAGTATAAACAAAAGGTGATGGCTATTTAGGTGGGACAGAGTCAAATTTTTTAGTTAGTCTCGTTGAACAGGCAATACCTTACAGGGATTATCGGAAATTGTACGTTGATTTAAAACTAGTGTCCAGGAATTTCGTTGAAAAGCATCATGATCGAGCGAAAGAGAAACCGAACACTTATTAGAGAAGAGAAATCGCGCGTTCAGGCTTCAAATTGGTTGGACCGCGTCCGTGGCAAATTTCCAGTCGGTTAATTGCCGGCCGGTGCGGATTACAAAACGGTTTTGCGTAACAATTCTTCCGAGAATCTTTACCCTAAGTCTACGATGAATGTCGCGAAAACCGAGCCGGGTGACGTCTCGGTCCCGCGGCAGGCCCAACGCGTCAGCGATCTGTTGCCTTCCCCTGCCCGCCGAACCCTCGTACAATGCCGCCAGAACGAAGCCAACCCCCGACGGCGAGAATGCCACGTTTCCCTGGCCGGTGTACTGCTGGAGAATCCGCACGCCCAGATCGTTAATAACGTCCGTGATGATGTCGACCGGCCTATGCGGAACCGGTTGATACCAGCCGTCGAATCCCACGTTGTCGTAGCCGTGGACGAGCACGGACAGCACTGTTTTAAGAAAATTTCACGTGGACGAAACAAGTAATTTAATTACAGAACTATTATCAATTGACAGGATTGGAAAAAAACCTGCACAGACTACATAGTAAATCATCGATGAGTGTTCGTAGGCTCCTCGACACTCAACATTAAATGTTTCATAAACTAATATCCTAGTTATTAGGAATACCCTGTAACTAATTTTATAAAATAATATCCGCGGCAGAAAGAAGTATTACAAGCTCTATCATCGTGCTAAACTTAATTAAATGCCGAGGAGCCTTCGGACACTCATCGAGGATTTACTGTATTTCCTGATCAGTTCTAAAATTTAACTCACTAATCTAGAATCCTATCGATCTTTCGAAGGAATCACAATGAAAGGAGGCTGTGAAACTGCCCAGTATAAAATTATATCCAAGAAAATCGTCGAGTGACCATCCTCTAAAATGATTCTTTAGCGTGTAGAAGCGTTCGAATACGTACGTTGCAGCAGGACAACCCAGGGCACCGTTGTCCCCATGTTAAAACGGTGGCCAGTCGGTGGATCACTCTGTCACAGGATCGATAGAACTCGGGCGAACGCGCATGGAAAACACTAGCGGCGGATTCCCTTCGGTTCGGTTCGTGGAAGAAACCTGCGGGTTTCTTCGGCTGGCTGGTATTAGGATTAGTACTTAGTCGTGCGCGCTCCACGTCGGAACTGGCTCGCGGATGGTGCTCGCCGCCCGCTCGGACGGCTTGGCGAGGAGGCGGTCGCCACCGCCGCCACCGCTCTTGGATTTTTTAAACGGCAAGGTCGTCAGGTAGATAAACCCGTGTCTATGTACGCCGTCATATCGCGCTGCGGCCCTTTCCCCTTCCAGCCAAGCCGATCCTACGGCGGGGTTACAGGTTCCCCGGAGAACGGGAGGCTCGACGGAGTAGGAGGTTCCAGAGATGAATAATTCAGAGGATCGTCGGGGATTCGTACGCCTGGAACACTGTGTGCCGTTCGCTTGATATTTAGTACCGTGCCGCCCGAGAGATCAGAGATGCAGAGTTTAGACGGGCTTCTTGGATAACGATACGGGATTTTTTTAAGGGAACGGAATCATCCAAGAGCTTGGAGAATATTGAAGCTATTTGGAGGGTATTAAGAAATTAGAAGAATATTAAAGAAATTGGAAGAATATTAAAGAAATTAGAAGAACATTGAAGAAATTGGAAGAATATTAAAGAAATTAGAAGAACATTGAAGAAATTGGGAGAATATTGAAGAAATTAGAAGATTGGGACCATTTTTAAGTTAACTAATCGCGAGAAACAATTTTTCTCCCCGCAAGAAGTGTTTGGGCGTTGCAGGGTTAAAAATAAATTTCAAAAAAGATGTAAAAAGCAGATTGGATTAATATCGACAGTTTCTCTGTATGTATATCAATCTCATAATTTTGAAATAACGGTTTAAGAGTGTGGGCGTTAAAGAGTTAAGGATTCAAAAAAGGAATGGAAAGTGGGTTTCAGACATGGCATATTTGGTTCGTTTTTATTTTAACCACAATACATAAGAACTGGAAATTTCAGGGTCGTTTTTATAGTTATGCCACGCAGTGTATCATCGACGAGCAACGCGTTGCCCCAAGATGCAGGACACAGAACCCGACCTTTCCGCGCTCCCCTGTGTTCGCACACTTGCAACTTCCATTCTTCTGTGATCTTAATAAAGTAACTAGTTGTGGCAACTTCCACTGTAACGTAACAACGAGTAACAGGATCATCATACGCGTCGTAAAGACTTGCTCAATACTCATGGTCGCTTTTTTCTGCGAAGACCAACCAGCCTTGTCGAATGTACATGCAGGGTGAGCCAATAAGAAGTACTATCTAAAATAACTCGTTACTTATTGGTTGTATCAACAAAGGCTTTGAATAAGTGATGTAGCAATTTAATTTTTTTTATTTCTTATTTTTTTTTGAGGATATCAGGGTGACCTTGAATTTTTTCAAGGTCAATATATCTTTTTTTATTACATTGTTGTTGAAAAAACTTAAGAACACCTAGCTATCTTAAAAGAAATAAGATACAAAGAAATCAAGTTGCATCCCTCCGAGGTGTCCTTTAAATACTAAGTAATTCATTAAAACTTTTTTAAATAAAACCAACAGGTAACGAGTTATTTTAGATAGTAGTTATCATTGACTCACCCTGTATATACTTGTGAAATTTTCAGTTCGATTAACGAAACTGTAAATATGAAGTGTGACCAAGAGTAGAGCGATTTCTGAAGACTAATCTCAGCTTCGACTTAGGATTCTCCTTGGTAGACGCGGTTACTTCGATTCCCATTCTCGTTCACGATGACACGGAGACCTGGTTTCGAGTAACGCAAGCTGGGCAGGATCTGAACAGCTCCCCCAATTACGTAATATTCGTGACTTTTACCGGCGAGACGCTTCCACAGATCGTTGCCAAACGCGTCAAGAATTAACGTTTAACAATGAACACCTGCCTTTCCCCTCCTAACTCAGGCTTATTAAATTACTGACGTGCAAACTCTACTTCCGCTATGGGAAAAATCAGTGGTCAACCACTTGGTTAAGGAAGTTACTAAAATTTATGTCAAATTAACGTTCATTTATTTCAGTACTTGTTTAAATTTACCAAATGGTATCTGACCCTTCAACTACGCTACCTTTTCTCCTAATACCAGTCGAGTTTGCTCGTGAGGGTACCCGAAGGAATAAAACGGACGTATCGGTTCAGCCAGGACGCATCCGTCGTGAAAGAAGATCGCACGTTTCGTGGATATCTGCGCGCAATATCCTGTTCCCGTCCATTACCCGCAAAATTAGACGTTCGTGATGGTAATTGCAATGGCCCCTGGATGTGCGTGGATCTATCGGCTGCTGCCACCTTCGTCAGCCGGGAATCGTTTCGCGCCTATCTCGTATTCGCACGATTCAATTATAATTGCTGAGATGGACGGGGGAACAGTTGCTCGCACGTTTCGTGCCATTCGCCGATCGCCGTTTCAAACGGAGATTGAAAAAAGAAAGAAATAAAACGAAAAAAGAAACGAGTCCCAGGAAGTCACGGGTCCTCGGATTGTGCAATATCGGGTCTTCCGGCGACACGGTACGTTTGTTAACCTCGTGGAAAGCGCTAATTTAAAGGTAACAAAAAGTTGCTGACAACGTGGTGTGAAATTGGTTCGTTTATTTAAGGAGAAATCACGTGTCGTTCGTATGGTGAGAAGCTGGTGAGCAGAACGAAAACCGTTTGCGTGGCTACACACAGAGAGAGTAGTTGTGTTTTATGAGACGAACGGACGAATAAGTTTTCGTTCCTTGGTGATCTTGCGCCTGTGCCAGTAGAACTCGCAGAAAAGAAGGAGGAAGGACAACGTCACACCTGTAAATGGGAAGCAATTTGTCGTGGATTGTACTGTTACTCAAACGTTGGAATTAATTATAATACCTATAAATAGGACGAAGAATATTCCTTGCATGTCGGCCACGTTCACTTTCCGTTTGTTCACCGCCTGGTTGCTGCCTGGTATTTCCCAGCATTTGTCTTTCATCGGCATCCTCTCGGTGATCCATTTGTGCATCAGCCCAGACTCGTGCATTCGATGCAATCTGTTTTCGAGGGGTATATAGTATGAAACCGAAACTTTTTCATTGATGAGATTAAGCGCAACTTACTCCGCGTCGATGATGGACAAATAGGGGCTTCCTTGCGGAACGATCATCGCGATAGGCTCGTCCATGAACTCGTCCGCGCTCAGAGAAAAGTGACAGCCTCCGGTGAGCAGCAGATCTTTCCTCATCACGAATCTATATTTTTTTTCGCTGATTAGCCGATATCGACTTTTTTCTTATCCTCGATATATATGTATATACAGAGTGACACAGAAAGGAGGGTTCATAACTTCTTGGATAGATAGTACTTGCCAAATGATGAAAAAAATGTCCTAATGAATTATGTAGCATTTTAATAGCATTTTTATAGTATAATCTAAGTTGATTACTTTTTCGCGGTCCACCCTGTATATTAATTACAGTGTACCTAAGGGAACTCCTCCAGTCGATTAAAGCGTGATTTCCATCCTTCACGCGTTGCATCAATTCCTCGTTTTCCGTGTCGTTGTACATCTCCGCGCGAGCCAGCAAAGTATGATACTTTTGCTCGTCCGCGTTACGAAGGTACACCTCGAGGAAACTTCCGTTCAGAAAGCCCCACGTGATTCGATCCTTGTTCGCGATCAGATCCTCCACCGTCAAAATGGCGGTGTCCATTCTTGGAAACGTGAGGAAAGCGACCAAACTTCCGGAATACGTGGCCACCAAAACCATCACGATCAACCACCAGATGCCGATCAAAACACGCGCGCTGTCAGAGTGTGGTAAATACATCCCTCCTGGAATTTCAAAAGTCCTTCCGAGATTTGTTCCAAGCTTCATTGGTTTTCTTGCTAGCTTAATTGTTCTACCAATTATTTTTTTACTGTACCTTTTGTGTTCTGGTTCTTGTATTGTTTTAATATCATTCTAATTCCAATTAGTTCTGTGGTTATTCAAGCATTAATTTAATAATTTTTATTGGTGGATAATCTTATTTTTATCTTATTAATTTCTTTATTTTGCGTAGTTTTAATGTCTGTATTATTCTCTTTTATTGTTGTAATTGTCAGGTTAACCCAGCATTGCTAGAAGTAAGGAGAGAAGAAACATGACCGCGTAGGGACAAAGCGATGCAGGTAATAGGAAGTAGTAGAGGGGGTAATATATTTGTTGGGTACGCGACGTCATGCTTTCATTCATAGTAATATTACCATGGTGTGCACAAGTCGTATTAGTGTATATACAGCTCCATGTGACGGGTCATCTTGTTCTTACGATAAGGAATTCTTCTGATAAGGTCTGTTAATCCTTACTGTGATTGTTTCTATTAATTATTAATATTACTAGTACAATGGGATATGCTACAATGAACAGTTACTATAACAAACAGAGTTTTAAAACCAATTAGATACATAGTTCATTGTAACAGATCTTACTGTATATATTAATGTTTCTTTTATTTTCGTACTAAAGTTATTAATACTTTTTCTAAATTTTTTTTCTTTTGTATAAAATCTGCTTATCAGTCCTTCATTTATTACCTTCTATATTAATAATTATTTTCTCATTAGGGTGGATGCACCAGTAAATTAAAATTATATACATATAGAAACAAGTAAATTATTTTATTAAAATAAATAAATGATCAAATCATTCAACAATATTGTTCATTCATTGGTGAAATCTGTATTTCTTTTCTTTAATTTAATTAATTACATTTTTCCATTTTTTCAAGTGGAAATCTATACATAATAAAAACGTATAGATATAAAAAATCTAACTTTCATGTGCCATATATTTAGTAAAATTATTACCATTTAAAATTCGACTTTGATAGTTACAAAATCTCTGAAGTGGTAAATCTCTAAAATTGTTTGTCTAAATTGTTTTCTCTATATTTCCTCTGTTTTTCGGCCAGTTAAAGATACACCAGAGGTCACCCAAATCCCTCACCGGGACCAAGCCCAAACCAAAGAGCTGCTCAAGTCAGTTTACCTCCCTCTCACTCCTGCTCCCCTACCATTTTCTCCATTACTTCTTCCCTCAGTGTCACTTTACACGTCTTATACTTAATCGTGTATCTTAGGAACTTTAAGTTCCGTCATTAAACAGCCAACCAAAAAATAACGTTCGTGAACAACCCGCAAGGCATTTAAGCCCGCGACGACTACCGAGAATAAGGGGGGTAGGATGGGGGCAAGCACAGATTCCGATCGCGTGAATGTTCGCGCGGACAAAGAGAAATATAGGGGGTCGGTTAAGGAGCCAATAAAATCGTACCTTGCTGAAGAAGCGCCCCGTACACGTACCACACACACTGCCAGGGCGAGTTCAGTCCAGAGGTCTTCGTGCTGTACGGGCTGTACTTGTGAACCAGGTACAAGATCGGACCCATTATGATAATGGATGCGGCCAGACAGGCCCACGTCTAAAAGCCAGGGCCTGGGTTAAAAGGTATGCAAGCGCGGAGAACGCCGAACTAAACGACGATAATCTTTATACTTCTGTCGTTATAAGCTATCACACGCGTCTGTATGTCGTGACTTTAAACGACGAAACATTTCTGTGTTGTTCGTGCGTTAACGACGCTAATTAATACCCTGTCGTTCCACGTGGCTCGACCGGTGAAAAGGGGGCTTAAGAGGAATCTCTCATTTTGCTCAAACTTTTTAACTCGAAGTAATAAGGATCCGTAGTTTCACTGATGTGAAGTGGACTCCACATTTCAGTTAAGATATTCAAGTATTTCCTCAAAAAATAAATAAAAATATAAAAAATGAAAAAATGTGTCTGTTTAATATCGATATTTTCGACTTTAAAATAATATATACGCTTTTCTTTGCTTTTACAGATTTTTTACCTTTTTACTTATGTTTCAATAGTATTAATAAACTCAATAGCAGAAGTATCTACAAAAATTATCCTACCCATCCCCTAAAAACCGTAAAAAACCACCCCCAAATATACTCTGAGCGAAGTAAGCTCTTGCTTTAAAAATTCCTGGTAATGATTCTTAGGGAATGAGGTAGGATAATTTTCGTAAATATTTCTGCTATTGAATTTATTAATTACTACTTAAACATTATAAAGGGGTAGACAATTTTTAATGTTCAAATGTTTAACAAAGTTTAAATGTTTTATATGTAAGCTAATTTTCGTATTTCAATATTAATGATACGTCTGAAGAAGAAGAAATTTATAAATCTGAGATACAGGGTGACTCAATAAGAACTACTATGTAAAATGACTCATTATTTATTTGTTGTATCAAAAAACGTTTCAATAAATTATGGATTTTAAGGGACGCATCGATTAAAAACATCTCAAAAATAAGAAGACATAAAAAAAATCAAATTACATCCATCTGATGCGTTCCTTAAAATGCTGCATAATTCACTAAAACGTTTTCTAACACAGCCAATAGGTAACGAGTTATTTTTAGATAGTAGCTCTTATTGACTCACCCTGTATACATATACATAGATATATTTACCATGCTTCCAGTTAGGTCTACAAACCTCTTTGGTAAACGGCGAGGCGAACAGTAGAGCTCTCGACAGCTGTCTCGGCCTGGAAGTTAAAAAGCTATACGTTTGCACGAAAATCGGTACCGTAAAATTTATTGCGATCTTCCCATATTCGTTCACGGTGTACGCGCACGCGGCCAGCAGGACCTTCTTCTCGCGCACCAAGTCGATCACCTCCCGCGGAACGTTCCTTGTGTTCGACATCGTCATCTCCTTGACTTTCTGCGTATATATAAACAATATAGATAATACAGGACTCGCGAGCGAAATTGAAAAGAATGGAAACGCCGTGCACCCTTACTTCTCCGAGTTTGGCGAACCGAGAAGCGTTCCATGACTTCGGAGTCTTGTACACTTCCGGTGCGAACACTTTATACGTGAAGTTCAACTTCTTGCTTAGGTAGTTGACCACGTCGAAGACCAAACCTTCGTACGTTTTTTCGCCTGTTTTACCCACCGAGATTATCTGCCACGGTGGATTCTAGGATTATGTAATTTCATAAATACATTCGAACCTTCTAATATACAGGGTACATCACTTAACTCTACTGCATTAAATTACTTAGCAAATTTTTTGATAGTTCTGATAACGTTTTAACCCTTTCATTCCCGAATTATCAAAAAATTGTTACTCGCTAAAGTTTCGTCAGCCTTCACCGAAAAATATCTGAGTAATTGGTTTAGTATTTCTGAAGGTGATCTTCATATCTCGATAAAACAGTAAAATAACAAAGAAACTAATTGTTACATTGTAAAATCCTCTTCATACCATGCAACTTTACAAATAATTTATGGTAGTAGAATTAATTGACTCACCCTGTAGATACTATTTTTATTTTTATTCAACGTGAACGTGTCTACCCACGTGATAAGTCGCGATCGGTAAGATGGAGCCCCTAAATCCATGAGCGATGTGAGGAAAGAGAACGTCCGTTACGTTGATTCCGAATTCTGGCGTCCACATCCCTATGTCCAGCAGATGTGCGACATCGTTCTCATTAGAGAAAAAGTTCCCCCACGTGATGGACGAGGAAAACTTCCATACCAGGCATTTTCCACACGCGACATCCGTGGAGTCTGTGTTCTGGACGAGATACATCTAACAAAGATATACAGAATTTTCGTCTTAATCCCTGTCAAGATTGATTTTCCTTTTATTTCTTTTCCTCCCGAAAGGGGGTGGAGGTAAAATCCAATTTTTTTCTTCTAGGGTAGGGCAACAGCCACTTTTTTCTTATCTTTTATCTCTAGTCTTATGATTTATAATTTATACTATAGACTACGAACTTTGATGTTCTTCAGCATCTCGTGACGTCTCTCGTGTTTCGTTAGCCGTACGATCTCGAAATTCTCATCGCCTATCCTCTTCACTAACTCGATCTCGTTTCTCACCGAATATTCCAAAGCTCTGGCCAGAGCTCCGACCAGTTCCTTAACGTAACGCGTTAATTTGGGCTGTAGAAAGAGGTCTTGCGACAATTATTTATCATAGATCGATAGGCATGAGGTACTTCAATTATCGGATCTCAATAAACTAAATTCAATCTAGTCGAGAACACATGTAAATAGATATACAATAAATTTTCAACAAGGAGGAAGGTCCCCAGGTATAACGCTGACTTTTTAATGAGGTTTAGCCCAGTGATAGAGCTTGGAATTTTGAAGCTAATAATATTTGTTTCAGTCCCATATGACCATTAGTGTATTAAATATTTAGTGTTTAATGTCGAGGACGCTTCGAGCACTCATCGAGTATTTACTGTACTATGTTATCATAGTGAAACAACGTGCACATTCCGTGATAAATAAAACTGCCCTGATCGTTAATAATCCAGGAGCAATGAATTATTACTTCGCAGTAGCCATCGTAATCTGACGCGTTGTATATGAAGGCCACGTTTCCCCCTTCAGCCAGTAAATCAACAAAGGTCGTTATGTTGGTCGCGTTCTGCGCCGCGCTGTCGGTGATAACGTACAACCATTGACTGCCAGGATGAACCATGTTCAGGGACCTCGCCTTTCAGTAACAGAAAAACCAAAAAGAGGCTGTGTGTGTGTGTATTTGATCGGTTCTATTTCCTCCCCTGGTGACAGACCACTGCCTCAATTACGGTCTTAACTGGACTTAAATCGTTAAGGGACAATTCGTGACAGGCGCGATATATCTTCGTGGATCTACGAAGAAACATGCAGAAGACTTCCGACAAAGTTGCTAAAGAGTACTGAAAACGACCTGGAGGCTGTCCAAACGGACCGATCCGAATCTAACAAGGCCATTAAAGCGGGGACAGAGAGGCTCACCACTTCCATAACGTCTGCGACTATATCGACGGTGGCGATCACCAAGAAACAGTGTCCCAGTTGGTCCACGTGAAAATCGTGCAGCACCTTTCTAACCGAACTCTTACGGCCCCTCTCGGTTTCGTCGTGTTGCAGAGTGAAGATCGATCTCGAGATGAGATTCAGCCGTTTGCTGGGCAGCTTGTTCGATATTGCCTCCATCACTCGGCTGATCGTGTCCCTGCCTGGAACAGAGACCGTGCACACCAGCTCGGTTAGATAAAACGGGAGGGTTCGTGTACGTAATCGCGACTAGAAGTGTAGCTAGTCTTATCACCGAACGTGTCGTCGTGGAGAATGTTGATCACGTTCCAGGTGAGGATGTTCATCATCCTCAGATCAAGGAATATCTGGGAGAGTTCGTCGCCGGGAACGATCAAGGGGACGCTCATGCCGTCGGTGTCCGAAATTCTGGGACAGTCCGGATCTTTGCGTGTGGAAGTCAGACAAATTCGAGTGAACTCGGAGTAATTTTAATACATTTAAAAGCCCCCACAAACCAACGCGAAATATTCGCAGCGGTAGCGAATATTTCGTAGCGTTAAATTCGCAACAGTTCGAAATACATGGCGTCTTATGAAACTGTTCAGACCAACGCGAAAAATTTCCGCAAAAATTTATCTATAAAAAATGTATCGCCGCGAAATATTTCGCGATGGTTCGTGGGAGCCTTAAATCGTAATGAGAAACGAGATCCGCGGGACACTCGAATCTTGGTTCCTTTTTTTGTTAATGGCCAAGATATCGGGAGCACTTGGGTTTCGGATAGTTGGTAGATTATCAATCATCTGGTTGTGTACCTGTTAGCGCAAGATGTATTAGATCCTCCTTTCGCGCAGCCTCGTGCAATCTCCATGTTAGGTGGCAAGTCGCGACCGACAGAAGTATCGTGTAATCTTGGCGTGCGCGCGCGCGCATGTGTGTGTAACAGGCATCGGCAAGAAGAAGGTTGAATGACGACGATTAATTAAACTATCGATCGCGAGGCATTCGCTTACCTTGCCGTAGATTGACGTTCGCGTCCCGGAAAACACGAACGGCGATACCACCTACGTGCATCTCTCTGTTCACGTTGTCCGTTATCAGATCGAGTATCACATCGACGGCTTTACGGTGCTCCTCTTTGCTGCCGAAGTAGCTCCTGTCGATCACTACCGCTGTTCAAGGAAGTTTGGATCAAGGGATTGAACGTTCTATATTTTCGTTTCTTTTCATATGCCTTTTTATTCGCGATCACAACGAATTCCCTCTAATTTCTGTTTTTTTTTTTTTTGTTTTCTCTCGTTGAAAATATCATTCGTACCCATCGTGGCGTTCGCGGTTACCAATGCAGAAAAGTTATTGTAACTGCTCCCATAGTTGACGCTCGAGAGAAGAAAGAGGACCGATATCATTTCTCTTGTCAAACGAAATGACAACGCGGCGTATACGTTCGGCCGATATATAACCGAGGACACCCGTGAATAATGTATCACTTCATTAGTTTGGCCATCCCCGTTATTACAACCTGGTCAGACACACAATCACGGACCGAATGGAGCCGGCCCAGGCCTAATGTAAACTCCGCGGTGCGCCACGAATCGCTGGAAAGGTCAGTCCGTTAATAAGTTACCTCTGAGCGATCGAATCCACCGTGGAATTGGAACAGAACATTGTTTAGTCAAGTTGCGTGTGCCTCTTGGCTGATCGTGGAAACTCGCTGGGAACGTATTAGCAATCTAGAACTTGCATGAAATCCGATCTCACCCGAATATGAATGAATCATGGTCGAATTTAGAGGATCCATGCCTCCATCTAAATTCAAATTTGAATATAGATACGCACGTGTCGCGAGACAAAGTTGAAGAAAGCTGTCGTTATGCATTCAGAATGTAATTTTTTATTTAATATTTACAACGGATTGCTTTCGATCGCAGTTTTCGCACAAGACATCGACGGTTGGCGTTGCTATCTGTCAACGCACGAGACAATTGTATTGTTTCATATCGGCCGGTGGAACGCAGCGGTATACCACTTCCGTGTAGCGAAATCAGAGATAAAGCCGATGGCGTCGGTTGCAATATTGCAACCTACGCGCTGTCGTCGACAATAGAAAAAATCAGACGTGTCCTGCGAGTTTATTCACAATCGTGGCGGTATGTGGGACACATTTTCGTTCTAGTTTTCAGCCATCTACACTTGTATTCAACATTATTACAGCTTCTTTGCGCATAAAGAATAAAGAATTAATTTTCTTCGCCTCAAATGGGTCCTTTATTAAATGGACAATTGTTATTTTAAAGACATGCTGTAATTATTATGATAAACCGTTCAAGCATTCATTTTCCTTTTTGAGACCCTACGATGGTTACTTCAACTTCCGGTACGATTTAACCGGAAGAATAAACGATTCTAGGCTTCCGCCTAGAACCTACAAAAAAGTCGTTTGTGTTTAAATTCACCAATTGGCAAGACCTCGGTGCTGGAGTAGTCATTACTCGGTGCAAAAACGAACAGAGAATATACGATAACAAATTCGAAGTAAACAACGTTTGAAACCGACGAGTTGAAATAACAAGAGGAGCGAGTTATCTGCGGGAATAGTCGCCGCTTGTGCGACCGCTCGTGACGATTCGGCTGACATCGTGCGGAACAGAGGACGTGCGTGCCTCTGCTCCGACAGTTGGCTCCGAATGTGTCTGGGAAGCATGCAGGAGATACACGTCTCATGTATCACATAGGCCTGAACGATTTTTCTCCTTCGAAAATCTGGTCAACGTTAACGGAGTCGGGCACCCAAACATTTCGTGCAATGTCAAGCACCGTACGATATGATGGGCTAAATGTCTCCGGAAAAACTGACAGAAGCAACGCGAACGTACAGGCTGAACGCGAGACCAGCATAGGCGAACCAGTGAGAGGAATAGCACGGCCGGAAAAAAGTGGGAGTGAAAGTGGAAAAATCCAGTTTTTCGAAATTGCACGAGTGACAGAGCCGCGCACCTAGTGCAACACCACACGAGGTCTGCTGATGTTCCGCGGAAACGATGGAGCCCGAGGAACCTCTGTTGCAAGGGATCCTGTTGTTACCACCGCAGGGAATGCTAGGCCAACTCAAGGTTGGTTAACCGTCAGGATAGATTTATATTTCTTGTCCGGGCAATCTGTCGATGAATAGATCCCACCCATGATTTCTTTCCTTTCTATTGTTACGGTCGACGTTCGTAACGATCGTCCTCTCGTTATCAGTAGCGAGGAATAACCTAAAAGCTACGCGATCAAGTTTCAGACATTTCAGACGCCTATGAGTTCGCTAAATCGTACGTGATACACGTCATTCTTGATTCACGTCAATTGAAATCTATAGCGTACATGAAACATTCCTGAAATATTCGATAGAATTTTATTAATGTTACACAGATTTTGTTGTTTCGAGAACCTGTCAGGCTTGTAAACATTATGCGATATTGTTCTGTTACAGAAAACATGGCACAAAAGGTTCTGCCAGCTGTTTAGAACTAGTAACTATGGAATCAAGCGTGTAGAAATTTACGACAACCAGGAAGAAGCTGTTCTGCAGTTGCATACTCCACGTATTATCACATTAGATGCATGCATTAAAATTGCACCCAGTAACCAATCACATGTATTTATTGTAAGTAAGGTTTACTCGTTTGAAGGAAGTTATAGCATAACATATTTATTCTCTTTCGCTGCGTTTTGTATGTGTAGGTTGTGACCAAGTCAGGAATCCATTATTTCGGATGTTACTCCGAACAAGATATGAGTCATTGGATTACTGCATTTCAGTTAGTTGCGTTTAAAGACAGTGTGTCTAACCAGACAATAGAAGAGAACAATGATCTATATTGTACCAGTGGAGAAGGAGTATTTTCTGTTAGAGTCGTGGAGACAGATGCATCCAAAAGATGTGGCCTAGAAAGTAGAAATTATACCCTTGTAGTAGCTGCGGCCGATATTAAATTAATGGATGGGGATGTAGTCCTGTTCATTTGGCCATACAAATATATCAGAAGATATGGCTATAAAGATGGTAAATTTATTTTTGAAGCGGGTAGAAAATGTGAATCTGGAGAAGGTTCTTTTCGTTTGGAGCATAGCAGCCAACAAGAAATTTTTAGATGCATGTATTCCAAGATGAGGTCAATGAAGAAACTAATGAACGAAGAAAGCAGTCCAAGCATCGAATGCAATGATGCTCAATACCAGGCAGCCTTGTCTATGGAAGCTGGCTCCAGAGCAGCATTACCTCCATCCTCAAATAGTTCTGCTAATTTAATTGATATTGACTTTTCAACCCCACAAAATTCTCAGAAACAGTCAAGCTCGTCGTCGAATCTGGATAGTAGTTTATCTAGTAAGCCTTCTACATCTATGCTGAAGTCTAAACCTGCAAAGCCACCAAGGAAATATGTCTTTCAAGGACTGCTGGATAAGAAGAATACAGATTCTGAGTTGTCAGACATATCTGCGTGTGGAGAATACAATCGAGATAATTCGCCAGAATTATCCCAGAAAACAATAGGAAGTTCTGTACTTGATGATGAAGAGAAACATCCATATGATTTAGTAGAAGTAAGAAACGATGCTTGGAAAACGCATGGTATTGATAACATACATCACACTGAACGAGCAAACTCGTTGTTACATAGTGACAAAGATAAAGAGAATGACGATGACTTTCAGTATGAAACGATGATGCCTATTCTGTCGTCTCAGAACTCATTAAAAAGTAAGTCTAGTATTTCCGATAATCCAATAACTACGTCGACGAGTAATCATGTACCGTGTAAATCTAATGACGAATCTGAGTATGATAAATTAGAACATTTTGGGTCTGCGAGTAAGATTAATCAGAAAGGTACATATAAATTCGGGAATTTTAGCAGTGCCTCACAGAATTCACATTCCAATGTTTCCTTAAATAGTTCTGTAGTTGACACTAATACTGCATGGTCTAATTACGATATCGTCGAAGATATGTCTGCTGTTAGATTAGCAGATGATAGTCATCTTGGATATGGTGTTATTAGAAAGAAAACAAATCAATCTGAGTCTGGCTCTGCCAGTAGCACAATGGGTCCAAAACATAAAGTCTTTAATAATAGTGAATATGCAATCGTATCAAAACCAAAAAGGGTATAAAAGATCCAAAATAACTTGAGTTTCATAAATATGTTAGCTATTTTTAATTCAGAGATTCTGAACTATCCAAAATAATAAGAATAATGCTAGTCTATGATATGACTAGAATAAGTTCATTCATATCTTTTTCTATCTAATGAAAAAGTTATGTGTTGATATTTTATAATTTTATTACAAATATGCAGGAGTGAAATACGAGACAATAATTTTCTGCAAAGATTAATTTAAGAAATACTAGTCTTCTTAATCATTGTCAATTAATGATGATATATATTCAAGTAATTATGAATAAATTTATTGAAATAATAGTTTCTAGAAAATTCAGCATTAGTCTTTTAAAATATGAAAATGACTGATTGCAACAAAAAGTTATAGGTGCCTCGTATTATAAAACGAAATTTAATAACAAAGTCAAGCTACATTTTATTAAATTTTTGCAAAGTTTCAGAGTTAAATTTGCATGTTATTTCATATGTGCTGTACTTAGAGATATTTAAGTAATGTTATTGTTGTAATGACTACCATTAGTTACATATTATAGTGCTATAGCAACTTCAATTAAAGTAGTGCCTTCACTGAGGCGTTTAAAATCTATGGTAATTAAAGTCTTCGAGATGCAAAGTTTATATTTACACAGTAAGGGAAAAGCAACGAGTCATTCCTTGTGTTTCTAGTATATATATTTTGTATACGTATATATGTATTATATATACACATTTATAAAGGATTTTACTACGTACCATATTGTTAAGACAATCAGCTCTATGAAAACTGTATTATACATATGTCTATCTTAAAAGTTATTTACAAGTATTCATACTTTATCAATTAGAACTTGCCATATACAGTAACTTTTACATTATGTGCCAAGGTCTGCCATTCAAATTCTTTATGGATATTAAATTTTATAATAGCACTAAGCCATTCTAGAAAAAGATTACACCGCATAAAGAGGCAAGTTTTATAGAATTTTATATGATCTGAGAAGTTTTATTCTACCAAATTGTACATACTAGTAGTATTATTTACATGTAATACAATTACAGAGAAGTTTAAATTACATATACCACACAGAAACAATACTGTGTCTTCTAGTATATTTAATTTAAAGCATTAAAAACAATTTTTAAGTCTTTCGATATTCACCAAACTTTCGATATTATTTTTTACGCATATAGTACTAAGTTGCACGTAAAATAAAAATTATAAGTGGTATACAATAAATTTCGAAATATTTATATTTGCCCTAATATTCGTTTCCTATGACTCTGAAGTATCAGCTTTCTTCTTCTGAATACAAATTTCACTCTCTTCTTGAATTAGTTTTGCTTGATTTTTATTCTGTTCCAATAAATCGAGTTCTGCTTTGGTAACGATTTCGATGTACCCATCAATGTCATTTTGAACTTTTTTAACAGTCTCTCCTCTTGCGGCTAGGAATTTCTCTATATTTCTCGTTTTCCGCATTTCTGGGAACCATCCTATATTGTCAGCGATTAAATGATTATTTTTACAACCATCGCATCGAATTATAACTATTCCGTGTTCGTAGGCCACTTTAGAAATAATTTTTCCATTCCTGAATTTGCATTTTTTACATGTAAACATCACTTTGAGCTTTCCTTCAAGCTTACCAAGCGGCTGCTTAGTACAACTGTTTTCGACATTCTCTTGCGATGATCCAGAAAGATTAGTCTTTGTTCGAATAAGGGTATTCTTATAAAAAGGTATTTCAAAATAATTCATAGAAATCGGTGATATTTGATGTAAATTTATAGATTCTCTCGTTAGGGCCAATTTAGCTCCAACTCGAAGTATGTAACGGAACGAAAACATGATGAAACTATCTGATTTCCTTATATATTCATAGCAATTTTTTTAGTAATTGAAAATTTCTTTGCATTGAATAATTTGAGTACACTTGTTGTGTCATTAATACGACAACTTTCCGGAAAAATGACACTCAATGACACTCACGTGGATGTCTGCCAGAACAAAATGTGACTGTACCACCGACTAGGCATAGAATAGACCTATCATCCAATGCTTTTTTCTGTTCCACGTTCATTGGGCTACGTAGCCCTGTTACCATTATAGTGTCAATATCCGACGTTACCGATAAAGCATGAATTCTGAGTATTATTAGCACAAATGAAGTGTTATATATTCCATTCATATTACGTGTATCTATATGATTTCACGGGAATAAAAAAGGGTAAGGGATAAATATGACAGTCATGAAACATAAAACTGAAAATGTTCCGATTCAATCTGTTGTTATTACATTGGATTACAGGACAACAGTAATACAGACTTAACTAATTTTACTAATTCAGGGGGGTTCTGCACTATTGGGTCGATGCATTAAGTCCTGAGGGACAATTTGAGACTAATAACGTTCATTTTAAGTGGTTAATTGCTGAGATATTAGCATTTTTCCATCACTAGACATTTTCACTCACCTGTCGATATTATTTGGCTAGCAGTTTGAGCGATTCGCCACGGGCGGCGCCACCGGTCAATAAAATAGTGGTATTCCGCAATTAAATGCGATTTTAACAGTGTTCTGGCCGTTTAATGTTATTATCAATATAAGTGGATTAATCCACGTACTTTCAGCTACAAATCGAGTTCTTTATCTAAACGAAAGCTGCCCGTATAACGGTATAAGAGGTGTCCAAAGTGAACTAACCGGGGTACGCATGACGAGCTACAGTGTCAACCGTTACAAATAAAGGGCGATTTTAAAAGTGTTGTGGTCGTTTATTGTTATTGCCACTGAGTGGAGATTAATCTACATTCTTTCAGCTACAAGTCGTGTGCCTGGTCAAATCAAATGCTGTCCCTATAACGTCGTGAGACCTGTCTAAATATGAAGTAAACAAGGAGTGCTTGACGTGGCCCAGTGACTTCACCCATGTTTCCGGGGCTCTGTGACCCCACGATCTCACCCCGCGGTGTGCCGGCGCCAACACAGGGGGTTCTATGACCCCGCGGTCTCACCTCACGGGTCTCTGGTTTACTACACAAACAAACTACTGCCTACATGTTTTAAACTTGGGCTGTAGTAGTATCTGCAGAAACTGCCATGGTTGCTGGGGTTATTATTCAATTTGTTCACGGGAACACGCACAAGCGTCAGTCCCAATTCGACAGTTGCACGAGCAACATTCGACCGAGCTCGAGAGTTGTACGAGCAACAGCGATAAAGGATCACCTTTCAAATGTGTACTGACGCAAGCCATTTCAGTACCGTTCATTGTCCCGTAATCCACATGTAATAACAACAGATCGAATCCGGCAACTGATATTGATAATAACAATAAACAACCAGAACGCTGTTAAAATCTCATTTAATCGCGGAATACCACTATTTTTTCGACCGGTGGCGCCACCATCTCGCAAATAAAGAAAATCTACTAACCACCGTCCAGTAACTACCAAATCTACTAACCACCATCTCGCAAATAAAGAAAATCTACTAACCACCGTCCAGTAACTACCAAATCTACTAACCACCATCTCGCAAATAAAGAAAATCTACTAACCACCGTCCAGTAACTACCAA